AATCACACCCACCCCGATGCACATGGCGGTCTCGACGCTTTATAAGTAAGTATTGTAGGTCGTGGCGGTAGCGTTCTGTGGTACTTTCTTATACTCGTCTCCAGACATCCGAAATATCAAAGAAACTCCATCTCTATCTCCAGATCCGTCTTCAAGCTTCACCGCCCCGCGTCATACAAGAACATTCAAGATGGGCAGCAACCCCGTTTCCAAGTACCGCATTGTAGTCGGATGTGACGTAAGCCGACATACGTGCCTCGCTTCTCATGAAATCAGACTGACACCTAAACAGGAGGCTGGCATCAAGTACAAGGACACAATCAAGGCAGACTTTGAAAAGGACGCCCGCGTTGAGTTCGTCGAGGATGTCGGAAGCCACGATGGCGCAGACAAGACGGCATACCCTCACAGAGCCGCGGCTGCTGCTCAAATGGTAGCCGACGGCAAGGCCGACCGCGCGCTGCTCATCTGCGGCACGGGACTCGGCATGGCCATCGCCGCCAACAAGATTAAGGGCATCCGCGCTGTAACGGCACACGATAGCTTTAGCGTCGAACGCTCAATCCTGAGCAATGATGCGCAGGTGCTGTGCATGGGTGAGAGAGTCATTGGTTTGGAACTTGCAAGACGACTTGCGAAGGACTGGCTTGGATACACATTCGACCCTACGAGCAACAGTGCGGAAAAGGTTCACGTCATCAAGAGTCTGGAGGCTACAGCATGAAGCAGATATGTGGTTGCATTCCTTTTCGATAACGATTAATAAAAGCGTTTATTCTTTTTCCATATATCCACCCTAAACCATATCTTTCGCATGACATACTCAGCTCTCATGTGAATCTGCGATCTCATGCCTTGTGCCCTCACGGCACATATCTCACATCATTGGACTTCCCAACAACGTCAATGTTCATCCAGGCTTCATAGGGTGATAAAAAAAATGGTTGATCTCACATGCGCGTCTTGTCCAATGATGTTCGGGGCTACATGCAGAATCCGGTAGACTCACCAGTCGGCAGGTCCAAGACCCGGAGAGTAGTGACAAGTTCGGGGCCGGTGTGCGGCTCGGCTCAATAATAGAAGAAGTATTTAAGAACGTAATAGCCCCTATGTTGCTATTTCTACGTTCCCTCACTCATCCTGTTCACTCTCGCAAGCGTGACCAGTGAGGCGAAGTCAAGCTCGGGATGTGTTTGGTTTGGTACCTAGCCTTCAGAGCAGCAGTAGTAAGTCGGATTACAGGTGAGCTAGTTGATTCCTCACATAATATTCATCACATTATTGTTCCAATTTCCTGAAGACTCGCATCTCCTTAATTTTGGTGTTCATTCTTTCAGATGTCGTTCAAACTCTCTGCATCGATATTGAAGCTCTCCATTCCCTATTTCCCCAAATCTCGATATCGGTGGGGCAAGATCTAGGTGAGCTCCGTCAGCTTTCCCAGCGGAAATCTGGGTGCACCTATTGCAAACGAAGAACCCAGAGATTGCATGTTCTCTGAATCTTGGATTGAGAACTTCATCGATGTTTGATGCGATCGGACAACCGGGAAGCTTGACGATACGATGAGGAGGATTGCCGCAAAGATGGGTCGAGTGTCCGGCCGCAAGCCCCTCTAGGCGGGGTACAGTCCCGATTTTCCGCACTATTTGAAGTGCATCACCCAGACGCTCCTTTCTTCACACGCAGCTCAACCGGTGAAGCAACAGGTCAACTAGAAGCTGCCAGCAGACATTGCGCAGAGAAGTTTCATACCTTCGAGATGACGACACCACCGAATAGGAGGCTTATCGGCCTTTCAACCAAGATGTACTTCCCGCTCCAACGCACAGTCGACTTCATCGCCACAGTTCAGACACAACTAGCCGCTCTATCTCCAACATCTTTAGAGAACGTCGACATCTTCATCATCCCCGATTTTATCTCCATCCATCCCGTCAGTGAAGCCCTCAAGAACTCGGCCGTCCCAATCCGGTTGGGTGCACAAGACTGCCACTGGGATGACTTCGGAGCTTTTACGGGTGAGGTCAGCCCGGCTGTCCTACGCGAGACCGGCGTTTCAATCGTCGAGGTTGGGCACGCGGAGAGAAGGAGAGTCTTTGGTGAGACCGACGAGGTCGTGGCCAAGAAAGCCGCAGCGGCGAGCAGAAATGGAATGGCGCCTTTGATCTGCATCGGCGAAAAGACAAAAGGAGACTTGAGTGTTGCACTGGGAGAATGTCAAGTCCAGATTGACCAGTCCCTGGCAGACGTGCCTGAGACGGCGGAAGTCATCATCGCGTATGAGCCAGTCTGGGCAATTGGCGCAAGCGAACCAGCTAGCGAGGGCCACGTTATTCAGGTAGTCAAGGGTATCAGAGCTTTTGACAGCGTTAAGAGGAGAACCGGCACGACTAGAGTCATCTATGGCGGAAGTGCTGGACCGGGCTTGTTCGAGAAGCTGGGCGAGGCCGTCGACGGTCTGTTTCTTGGGCGGTTCGGCCATGACGTGCCTAGATTCCTCACCACCGTATCAGAAGTGGCTTCTTTCAAGGCTTAGACTCATTCTTCTCAAAAGCTAGACATATAATAGACATTGCGAACTCTCATTATGGTCATTTTTAAGCGCATTGGGCTTCATTTCTCATTTCCTGACAAGCAACGTGCTGTACTTGGACTCTCTCATTGCTTACAGCTCCGCAGATTCTCTTCGCGCTTCCGACCCTCCAAGCGCCCCTAGAAGCCCCTCGTTTTTCGATGGCCAGACATTGCCGACGTTGGGCAAGGCCCGGAGAGTGTCCTGATTGTGATTTCCAGTCTCGATAACCACCCCAGAGAAGATTGCATGATCGAACTTCTTCACCACTTTGGTTCTCTCGTCTTCTGTCAACTTGTTGATGAGAGCCTCTCTATCTTCGTCCTGTGGCGCAAGCAAGTGTTAGCGCATCAGAGCACAGACGGTGGGCGCTGGGACACACCTTGCTGCTGCCAAATTCGACGATGAACTTCTCACCCATTGCGAAGACGACACATGTGAATAAGAGTGCGAGAGAGTATGGTCGCATTGGTCCAAAGCGGTACCGAAGTTCGTTTGGACACTATTATGTTGGTGCGAAGTTGGGTTGCCCAGTGGCGTGCCAGGAGCGTCCGTGATTACGTGCCCATAGGTGCAACAATCACCTTCCTAAAAGGGATTCACAGCAGCATCAACTAGCCTTTACAGTGTGCGTTTCTGCAGCGAAGTACTTCAGGTCCCATCTTCACTCTCAAAAGCCGTTCAATGTCCTTTCTTTTTTTACAATTAATCGAGCGCAAGAGAATTCTAGAGGCCGGATTAGCGGGCGTCCTCCGTCTCACTTCTAGGAACTAATAGGCTAGTCCACCATTTGCTTAGCTCTGCATGAATGAGCGTGAGGGTTCTCAGCATATTTAGGCAGTAAGTATGCCTTGTAAGCAAGACCCGCTAAGCAGTTCTAGAAATGCATCTGATTACTGCTACTTTGATCAAAAGGTTCACTTACCGACTCACGCTGGTCTATTTTTGTTCACTTCGGCCACGTGGGTTCTGAACGGCCCCCAAGAAGACATTAGCCGATGGTCGTAATGGTACTCGTCTTGACCACTAATACATGGCCGACATCGCAGGCCTGCGCCCTTTGGGATGCCCCACGTCTTTAGTCCATGTAGAAACTATTACTCACGCCAAAGAAAACCCTCAAGCTGAACTTCACTGGAGCTAACCAGACCTGCATTGGAAGTTGCATCTGCATTGTATCAAAACACGAGCACAGATTGGATTGGTAATCAACTCATAATATCTTTCGAAGGATTTCTCACAACTTACGTTAAGCATTCCCTTCCTATCTACATGCCCTATTCTTCCCAGAGTTAGCGTTCACTATGTCGTACACCGAGGAGCAAATCGACCAGTACCTGCACCATATTAACTACCCGCGAGAGAAACATGCGTCAGATCGATTGCAGCTCCTGAAGGAGCTTCAAGCTCACCAACTTGCTCGCGTCCCCTTTGAGAGCTTGACCTTACACTACTCGAAGCACCGCCTTATTTCCATTGATCTGGAGGATCTCTTCGACAAGGTTGTAGTGCAGGGAAAAGGCGGCTATTGCATGGAGCTCAATGCCTTATTCGGCGCTATCCTCAAGGGACTCGGGTTCACAGTCGTCAGCGTTGGTGCAAAGATCAAGGGCGACGAGAGGTTCGGCGGATGGTAAGCACTCTTAAAGGCTTCTAATAACAACTTGGCGCTGACCTTATACAGGTCCCACATGCTCAATCTCGTCACCATTGATAGTCAGCGCTACGTAGTCGACGTCGGTTTCGGTAAGGGGGCAACCATGATCCCCGTACCCTTGAACAAGGAGACCGGCCACGAGTTCACCACCATCGCTCCTCTGCGAGGAAAGCTCGTCTATCAGAAGCTGGACCAGAACACGGACTCGAGTCAGCGCATGTGGGTATACTCTTCAACCGACACCGCCGACGGCCCCTTCCGAGAGCGCAACTGCTTCACGGAGCAAGAGTTCTTCCCTGAGGACTTTGAAGTCATGAACTACGCCGTCATGATGAGACCGACGAGCTACTTTGTCAAGACGGTCTTGTGCATGCGAACGATTCTCAATTCTGAGACAAGGGAGGCTGAGGGTACCATTGTGCTGCATAAGGATGAGGTCAAGCGTAAGATTGGCGACAAAGTAGAGCTCCTGGAGACGTTGAATAGCGAGGTGGAACGCGTGCGGGCTATCGAGAAGTACTTCTATATCTCACTTACACCCGCAGAACAGAGAGCCATCAAGGGAATGCCACAGGAGCTGTTGGAGAAGAAGTAGCAGAGCGAAGCCGAAGTTGTTATTATCTTCTGTTCTTGAACGTGGGAGGAATTTTCGGGCTTAATCGTCGTCGAATCTGGGCGCGACTTGCTGCGTTTTCAGCTGCCGACTCTATCGAGCGGTCAACTTCCATATCTATAGACAGCTCGGCGAAGCACCTTAGCCCGGTAGTTCTAGAAACTGAAGAAGAACTCGTTGCCCAGACAATTGACCTGCGGGTCTCTTGTAGGATCTGTCATTTCGTTCGAAGTCGGCCCAAGTAAGATGCTACGAGCACCTTGCCAACTCCAGTCTATCTCATCCACCCCTGAATCAAAGGTAGGGTCGTCGGTGTAGTGACTTGTGTGCTGAAGACCGTCGTTCCGCAAATTCGCATACTCCTGGAGATGGAGTTGTTCCTCCTGGGCCTGTTCGACTCCGCCAGTTGTATCGAAGGCCACATTCCCTGATTCCACATACTCATTCGCCTCGGAATCTGCAGACTGTCCTGAGATCAAGGATATGCCATGACGTGTGATGTTGACAGTGCCGAGTGCAGGAACTTTGATCCGCAAGCACGGACTAGTGCGACAAGCATCTCCGGAGCTTTCAGCAGATGGGCTGTCCGAATACCTCCCCGAGCGACTAGCAGCACCCGCTTCCATGTCCAGCAAGGCTTTCAGTATAGAAGCGGTTCGCTTCAGCAGAGAGCCGCTATTAGGATGATCGACTTCCAACATGAGTTCAATGACCTCCTCGACCAAAGCACGATCACTCGCTCTCTGATGGACGAGAAAATCGACCACGTCAGAGTCATGACTCCATCTTTCAATATGCGCGAGAAGCAGACTGAGGCACGCCGTGAACGCAGAGAAATCGATGGCTCTGCAACAGAACAAGATCTCGTTCGCGCATCTGAACTTGATGTATCGACTTAGGAGCTCGCGGCTTGCGTTTGAACGCGCCGCTCTGCTGTATTCGTGATTTGCGCGGCAATTGGACCGTAGCATGTACGGGAAATGTAGGAGGATCAGCAGATTGAAGTGCGTGATCTGGAATAGAATCCGAAGGGTGGTTTCAAGCTTTTCCCCTTCACTCATGATTGCAGGCCGCTGTCTGAGTCGTGCGTTTGGGACTAGCCACCAGTCAGGGGGCATTTCTTGAGCTGCCGTCTGCAGCATTTGGTCAATTTGTTGCGTGACACTGTAGTCCCCAAGCTGGTTGCTCTCGTTCCTAGCAGTGATGCAGCGCATGATGTAACTGTGACTACGTTCAAGGTAGTCGCACGGAGACTCCTCAGGGGTGAACTTGTGCTTTGCGACATATGGATCATCGAGAGTTGTAGCAGGTAGGCCCAGCATTAGGGCCAAGTACCTCTCCTGACTTGAAATTCTATGCCACATGACTGAGGCTGAGGCTTTGGTCTGGGGGTCGAGTATCGCTAGTTTGTCCGGTTGGCCCTGATGCAGGCCCATAAGTTGAGCAAGGCCGATAGCTCTTCGAAGCACCATCCAAGCGCAACGCAGGTTGCCCGCATTGGTGTGAAAGACAGTCTCAAGGATCAAGCATTCCAAGCCCTCTTGCGAACAAGTGAGTTGATCATTTCCGGTCACGGAGGAGGCACCACTGAGATATTTCTGCATGGCATCTTCCGCACAGCATCCGAGATCCAGATGGTTTGTATTGGATGTAGAAGCAGAAAGATTCTGCAGGCCATTTGCAAGGTATAGCAATGTCCGGGCTAGAAGTATTGGGTGGCTTGGGGAGCTGGGAATCGAGGACAAAATTGAGGCTGAGCGTACTCTGCCCAAAAAAATGTCTTTATAGGGTAAAGTGAAGAATTGAAGAAAGGCCGCATTGTGGCCCGCTGAGATTATCGAATCCGCATCTCGTTGTGATGGTAGCAATGCATGGATCGTACGAGACAATTGTAAACGTTCTTCATCGATACTTTCATTGGCTTTCGGTAGATTATTCTGCAGTGAATAGTCTTCGTCGTCGAACTAGCTCTTCCGTCAGAGTCGGGCTTGACGCGAGGGGGGCTCAGACATACAATGACACTGTCGAATACTTGAATGCTCAGACAGGGTGTGGTAGCTAAAGACCTTGACGGTGGTTCCGGTTGTGTGGAGTCCGACCTTCGGGGTGCTTGTTCACTCGCGGATCTGGAGGCATCCCGATTCTGGAATAGTCGTTCTGTTCCCGGCGTGAGGAGGCTGACCACCTGTGTCATCTGTTCCAGTAACGTTTCGGCCCTACGCAACTTCTCCTCTGTCTCCTGCTGTTTTCCGGTCGTTCGGTTCTGTTCTAATGCATCGTCGTCGTATTCTTGAGTCCGACAAGCGGTGCCACGGCGCTGGCATCCGATGCAGATGTCTTGGGAGTGGTCTGAGAATTGACAACGAATCTTTCTTCGTTTACCTAGAAGCAAATCAACTGTTAGTGCTAATGCAATGAACCGGCACGGAAGAATACGTCATACACTCCCAACAGCTTGTTGTGCCCTTGCGAATTTTACGCCTTTTAGGCGCAGACTCCGCGGTCACGGGCGGCATTGCAAGATCTTGCCTTGTCACGCTCAAACTATGTGGTTTGTGGAGACGATGTACGGCGTAAGAAAAAGGTAGACAGGGCCAGGAAGAAATAGACTCGAAGAATGACAGGGCATAGCAGCAACGAAGACGTGCTGTTGACTTCTCGACTCCTCTCTCTGCAGAAGACGCGACAACGCGCCGTGGGCGGGGAGGACTCGAAACGCGAGTCACACGAAGTCACGTTTTTCTTGGCCAATAGGCCGGACATACATAGTCTAGTCCAGCGCCGGGCCGCGGGACGGGATTGCAGCTCCGAAGGTGGATCTCGGGGGAGGTCACCCGCGTTTAGCCGGCGCTGCGCCGGCCATAGCTGTGAAGGCACGCTTGACCGGTTATCAGGATGATGCGGGGGGACACTTAAAGAAGACGTGTAATGTCATCCGGGATTTAATCCGAGTTTTGTTTTACTTGACCACTACACAGCACATGCACAGTCGTTTCTCTCGCGATGTGCGGCTTTCTTCCTGAAATGACCGAGATTGCGATTTTACGGAAAGTATAACGTGGACTGGGCAGCCTCCGATCCCGTGACATGACGTACTCTGCATGGCTAGAAGGACTGACAATAGATTAAAATCTCAAGCATCAACCAAGTTTGTTCCATACTATTGCAAGAGCCCATGGCTACTTCGCCTCGGAAGTTGACCATGTAGATCTTGAAGGAGGAAAATACCGTCAATGCTTTGAATGATTGACCTTGAACGGGCCATGTTCGGTCCAGTTTGGGTGATATTCGAATACTACAGATAGCCGTGAACTAATCGTATGTTTCAAGGTATCCTTGCCAATCCATTTTGTATCTAGATATCGAGTATCTTGTCCTAAAGTACACGAGTAGCCTTACGATGTTCACGAGTTACGCCTAGGCTCCAGCCACCACAGCTAAACCATCGTAAATCATCCTCTTCACCTCGTAGAACGTGCTACGGTGCTGCATCATGGTCGCCGCATCCGCAATACCCACGCTCTCCACCTCAACCTTGCCCGTGCTCGTCTTCCGTACCGCCACCGCGCCGTTGATCACCAGCGTACCCTCGCCACGGAACTCGGCCGTGTAACCCGCAGACTGCATCGCCCGCCGCAGATCCGTGAGCCTCAAGTCGCCCACGTGTAGCGGCTGTGCTACCGAACGCACCGCAGAAGCCATGTTGGAAGGCAGTAGGTCCAGCGTGGGTACGACTTCGATCCCGGTAGTCTCATCTTCCCCGTCTTCCTCCTTCTTGACCTCCTCACCGGCCTCAGCATCTTCAGCCTCTGTCTTCTGCCTCTTGTTGGCCCCGTCGTCTTTCTCGATGAGCTTTTCCTTGGCCAATGCCTCGGCGATAAGCTGGCCTGTGACAGTCACGACGCCCAAGCCGCGAACGTTTTGCCACTTGAGCTTCTTGACCAGACTGTCTGCAAGTTTGACCACCCACGCGTTGGTGTCGACGCTCGCGTCTACCCATGCGCCCATCGCTGGCGTGTAGACATCGATCGCGCTCTCCTCGGACGCCCCAATCTGGGCGGCTAGCAGTTTCTTGCAGTCTGCTGCAAGGGCTGTTGTCTCGTCCGCAGTGCCGCCAACTAAGATGAGTTTTCTTGGCTGGATCAATGGAATCAACATGTTCAAACTCCTCTTGTCGTGCAGTCCACTGAAATCAACGAAGGCGATTCGCAAGTTGACCATGACCTTCTCTGTCGAGACGATCAGCTTGGAAGGACCCTGAATCTCCTCCTCAGCAATGTCCTCCACGTCGTCAAACTCGTCAGCGACATGGTCACCTGGGCCATTGGCGTCCAAGTCATCCACAGACCCTGCCCTGTTATTCTGGCGCTTGTTTGCTGCTTTGTTGTTACCGTCATCCCACTTGCGCTTCTTTCCAAGTCGGTCGTCATCGTCATCTCTCCTCAGACCTTCGTTGTCTGGTGTATCTTCTTCCTTTTCCTCGGCACGCAAGTAATCTTCGGGGCGGATCACGTCTCCGAATTGGTCGTCTCGTCTCCTTCGCATGACGAGAGGGAACGATCGTTCACGACCCTTCTTGCCCCTCACATCGAAGTCGTAAGCACCACGCTTTTTTGTCAAAATATTGATGCCGAGGTCCTCGTCTGTAAGAACAACCTTCTTACGTGTTGCCTGGCCCATGGTTGTTGAGATGTTGAGAGCCTTGCCTTGCTGTTCGTTATCGGATTCGCCAGAGTCTGATGAGGATTCGGATGAGACATCGTCGGCAGCATCTGCGGGTGCTTGCAGGGAAGCCCCGCCGCCACTTTGCAGCGTAGCTTGAAGCTGGCGTTGAGTCGCGAGCCACTGCTGGTACACATTGAGTTCTTCTCCCTCCAATGCTTGCCTCTTGGCCTCCTGGATCTCCAGCTCCCTACCGCCACCATAGACAAGCTCAAGACTGTTACCGTTGCTCGACTCCTCTACCGAAGCGCCATCTCTCCGTTCTGTCCACCAATCCCAAAGAGTTCTGGCTATTGATGGCCTTTCAGTCTGTGACTTGGCCGGCTTATCTGTGAGGATGACTAAATTCCTGGAATCTTTCGCGAGACCGTGGATTAAGTCTTTAGAGAAACCCCATTCCAGAGTATCGTCGCTAGCAAGAATGACCCTTCCTTCTGCTTGGACATTATCCGCGGAGCCCGAGAGGAGCTTCTCGATTTGTGCCCGGCGTTCAACGAGCTTCAGGTATCTAAAGTCAAATGGAACGCCTTCCTTGCTCTTTCCTTCGGTGCCGTTGGTACGCCGTTGCCCATCAGCCACTGATTCGAACTCCCTGACGATGTTGTCGTCCATCCACTCCAGCATACTTCGTGCATATCGCAGGGTACTCGACATGTTCCGTCCGGCGAGGTACAGTTTTGCTGACTTGAGGCTTCCGTCATCTGTTTGAGAGTCTGCTCTCCATGCTTGCTCCAGCATATATGCAATCTCCAAGACACGTGCGCTCGAGTCCACCGGGATGAGTGCCGTCCCTCCCCGGCTGACGCAGGATTTAATCATGTCGACGAGCTGCTCATCGCGTTTTGCACGGCCTCCGGCTTGGGCAACCTTTTCGGCACCTCTGCTACTGCACACCAAGGCCGTCGGCTTGCGCAGCTGTTCGATGACTTCGGCACCGCCACCTCCAGCGCCTCCTAGCCAGGCAGCTCCAGCAAAAACATTCTCCTTGGCCTGGTTCCAATCCACAGCGTAGACAATTGACTCCAGACCGTGCTGAATATGCCATATCGTTCCTCCGAGAGTGTGGCCTGCATTGTAGGCCGTGATCATGAGGCCATTGAGCGGCGGCGAGAAGGGAGACGGAAGGGGTTCGTGGGGTTGCGAGTACTTGAGAGGCTGGATTAGGGAGAAATATCGGGTGATTTCCTCGGGGGTTGGTGCTTGCAGAAGAAAGTCGCTGTCGGCCGTCGGTTGCTGAGAGAAGGAATATGCGGCCTCGGTCAGGGAGCCGTGGGGTATCTTTGTCGCAGCCAGAGGGGTGGATGCGTAGAGGTCTTGGGTTAAGGTGCGACCTAGATCAATGACAGGTCGGGTAGCGTATATGGGAATTCTCGTGAATAAGGGGAAGTTCTTGCAGCAGTGGGCAAAAGCAGCTAAATGCGATGTCGTGGCGTGTGTCAGTAGGATGATGGACAGTGTCGGAACCTGTCTGGAGGAATGTCAGCGATTGTCGTGAGGGAAGGCCAGAGAAGGGGAAGGGTCCGATTACTTTTCAAGCTCCCGAAGCTTCTCAACATCAAACGACTCGTCCCAGCCAAGATCTATGAGAATCTTAACGCCTCCATCGAGCTCCAGAATCGATTGCGACGCTGTTGAGTCGGAAAGGGCGCCCTGAAGAGGGCAAAAGGTAAACATGATTGGTATCTATTCGGCAAGGCCGCAATACATTGTCTGGAGGTAGAAGTAGAGGGATTGATTCGACACAGAGTCGCTTCAAGGTGCAAGCGCAAAAGCAGCGACCATAACGCTGGCGCGCAAATGTCAGATGATAATCTCGTTGTCGTCGCTGTTGCAAGCGCAGCGAGTCGTGGGGTTTGAGGTTCAACGGAGGTGTCGCGTAAAAGAATCCAGGAACCAAAAGTCCAAGGTTGCATGCGCTGCGCTGCGTGCAAGGTGCTTGGGGTACGTACCGCTACGCAGGACTGATGGGAGAGCAGGGGGTAGGTAGCTGAGGCTCCGTCATTGGAGAGTGGGTCATTCCCATTCCAAGTCCCACTTCTCAGACTCAGCTTCGGGACAACGGCGACTTTCCTCCGGTCCTTATTAGGTTTAGATTCGTTTTCTCCAATTCAGTGGAGACAAGCCCGGCTCTGCGGGATCCAACGGACAGCTGCTGGAGCTCACGCATTGGCCAGGGCCGGGAAGGGCCAGGTACACAGTACCTTTAGGTAGAGCACCTGCCAAAACGACTTCGGGCCTGGAAAAACAGATCGGAAAGTTATCGTGTCAATTTGGCCCGGATCCCTGTTGATTCGTGCGTCTGGCCAGAGCATCGAAAGGGGACACAATTCAAGCTTGTCACTTTTCCAGAAGCTCGGCTTGTCCTCGACGTTGCCGCCAAACATCCCATTTTCACGTTTCTGCAGAGCATGGCGCGCTCTTGATTGCGTGCGCGCATTTCTCTTCAACCCCTCTGCGAGTTTTCGACATTGATACCCGATTCTGACGGTGCACAACAGCTAGCTGGCCGTGCCTCCGAACCTCAGCTTTTGAAAGCTACGGTACCTTCATTAGCCCGCATTTAATTCGACTCTCCCGAGCAATCGACCACGAGCTTCCCATCACGCAACCCTCCAACACACCGACCACCGCCCATTTCTGCAGACATGTCTGACTTCAGCATGTACCACCAGCTGGGTCAGGGCGAACAAGACCCTTCGAATCCCAATCGATCAACGCAGCCCGCACCTCCCCAGTTCTCCCCTCCCGTCGCGGGGCAGCAATACCAGCAGGGAACTCCATACGGCGCCCCTCCAGGACAGCAGTACTATGGAGGCCAGCCTGGCTCCGCGCCACCTCATGCACAGCCGTATGGGGCACCTCCAGGTCAGGAGTTTGCGCAAAGTCCTGGTTTTCAGTCTCAGGAGA